CTTTTAGATAGATCCTCAAGATGGTAAATGTCTTCCACGTAATTAGGCGTTACTGTTGAAAAATTGTTGAAAATAGTCTCGGTGATTTCTCAGAAGGTTTATAAAATTTAACCTAAGAGAGAAAGGTACACAATTTAGCGGATGAACGGTGTTTCGTGCGCACGAAATACGCGCGTATTACACGCGTGTGAGATAAGGTTGGATTGTTACTTTTAATCCTCATCTCTGTTAAGAAGTATGTTGGTCGACTCTTTTGTTCTTTTTCGGGTAAGAAAAAGATGAAGGTAACAACAGAAATACGAGATTTTTCGCAGCTATAAGGTATGGGGATCGACTAACGTCACAGTGGTACAGCCGGCTTAACATTAAACTTCCATTAAAAAATATATGTTGCTGGCCCTTTGGCCCAAACTTTGCATCTAATTTCTGCCCACAATACCACCCCTAAATCAGACGTTAAGGTCAGGAGAATAAATGAAATGATCAACAACTAAAGAGGCTCTTAGCGTTAAACAAATTCTCCTTGTCAGCACCTTAGCAAATGTCTAGAGAACACTTTGGAGAATATGTATACTAATGTTAGGGTGTGAGGGTTTTTAAAGCATCACATCGCAAATCGCAAATGTTTAAGCATTACTGAAAACACTTTTCAAATGGATAACTCCTTTACCGAATCTGTCACTCATATATTCTGGTTAAACCTAAAAGAGTTTGCCAAAATATTGTTGAAATATAATTGTCATGGTCTTCACCATCATCATCGTTAACGTTTTCGTCATCGTCGTGATCTAGATCTCCTTATGATTGTCATTATCATCATCTTATACAGCGTCTTCATCGGCCTCTTTGCTTTCGTTCTGATCGGGCTTGTCTTCGTCGTTGCAGCAAAAAGCGATCATCAAGTTTAGTTCCTGTGTGAAGAAGAACATGAATGCTTGGTTCCTTTTTTTAACTACACAGAGTCGAGGTTGAGCCATTTTAGAAGCCACGTGGATTATAGCGCGAGAGAGGGTGTTCTTGGCCGGTGGCCACACCCTCTTAACCTCTCCCTCCTCCACTTCCCCCTTCCCCTCGATCAAAATTTCTTGTTGGGTTTCATGGCGATTTAACTGTTGTCGCCTATATAACTGGGTTGAGAGAGGCGCAGTGAGAGAATAGCGGGTTCTTAAACGCAAAGCTATTCATCATGCTTCCACCAGAGCTACTCGACCAGACCTTTTTCTCTCCCTTTTGCCAGAGAGTCTCGCCTCGCACATGTTAAGCAGGAATCAAATGTGATCATGAAGACGTAGATGGAATTTTTTAGCAGTTAGTAATCTCAAGCATTTCCCATCCAGTTGAAGAGGAGATCAAGGAATTCAATCCATCAGGATGGTGCCTGAATGTGTTTAGATTCGAAACCTTCAACCCCAAATTCATGTTGATCAAATTCCTTCGATTAATTCTATGGTATTATTGTTATCAGCTTCTAACAAGTAACAGAATCGGTTTTAGGTCCTTACCATTCTAATGAAAACGAAAATCTATAGATTTAGAACAGTTAATAATGACCCTTAACACTCAGTTAGACATCAGCAAAAAGTCAAACTTCCAAGAGTTCGATAATTAAACTGACCTGTAGAATTTTTGCTGTTCTGTTTTCGTTTTGTTTTCTTTTTTCATTACGCTCTTCTTTTTTTATTTGTTTAGTTTCTTGCTGGCATTTGTTTACTTTGTTGAGAATTTATAATACTCCACTGGAGAGTGGTTCGAGAAATGTTAGGAAAAAAATTAATCTTGATTTTTCTCGGTCATACAAAGAGGTGAACAAAAACTGTACTGGGGCATCTCACGCCCCTTTCAGGCCCTTCTAACAATAATGAACATATTTTTCCAGTCTCCCGAAATAAGGGGGAGATGTCTTTCGACCAGTAGGAAGAGAAATATATTCAGTTCGTAATTCTGAAAATTTTAGTTCAACTCTCTCCGGTTTATTAAATCGATTTTCTCTCAAAAATGCAGTTTTTCCATGGCTATAGCTGACGCGTTCTTATTAGTAAGATATGAAATGTTTGTTCTACATGAAAAATTTAAACTTCAACCTGAGTAAAACACAAAACTTGAAATCTACCTCACAAAGATATGACCTAAAATTTAATTACACGCAATTAGACTGGCTATATAAAGAATTATGTTTGCAACTAGATTTCCCATCAGTTGATCAGCGCCAAGGAAATGTCAAAAATACGGAAAATATTCAGTTTTCGAAAGAAGAATATCAAATTTGTTTCACGTTTCGAATTGTTATCTTGCATCACTGACAAATTTATAGAAAGCGAAAATATATCTATGATCGCTGCAATTGTCAAAGCCTTAGTTAGTTCAAGATTCGTCTGCAATGGTCGGAGATGATACTATGAAATTATATTCCTTGTTAAAGTTGTGCTCAAGAAATGGCATAATTCAAAATCTTTATCAAAATTTACCGCGAAGGCTTGCAATTTTTTTCTTTTGGCTTGTTCGAAAGTAAGCAGTCACACGGCGGTTTTAGATTTCTTTTTAATCCCGTTAGAAAGTTAGAAAAAATTGAAAATAAACAAGGCTTAAAGTTAATTAAAAAGTCGGTCAGCAACTTTGAATTTTAAATTTGTCTTCCCTTTAATATTTCTGTTATCGCTGTATTTTTTCTCGCCTGATGTTGATTAAAAGATAACACCTTGATTAATGGTATTTTCAAATATAGGAAGAGCTTAGAAAAGCCATCGGAAGCTACTCTCGCCACATCGGCCGATTTTAATGCGGAAAAAAAACTTTTGAATTCGTTAAAAGCCAAAGTGCTAAAAGACGCTAAAAGGCTATTATGATTCAAAATCACAGACATGTTCTGACATATCTAAGAAACATCGAATTTTGGCACTTCGTCTATTTCATACTTATTTGGGAGATACCACTGAAAATCTCTGGCCAAGACTCACCTACAAAACAAACAGAACTTACACCTTATAATTAAAAACTCATTTGACTTGAAGAAGTGTTTGCGAACTTCACCCGCAAGCACAGGTGAAGGAAATGCGTAGTTTGGCCTTATCTTGATGGAGATAACACGAATCGTGCGAATCTTAAGCATATCGCGTGTGAATCGATTTCATTAACTGCACGCGTATTGGCGCACCGCGCGCGCGTGCTGTTGACAATACGTCAGTTTTACTTCCATCCCGACTGCCATTCATGAGGCGATGGGCGCACTGATAAGCCAGTAAATGGGGTACAAGCCGAGAGCGGTTCCGACCTGACAATCAATACTTTTTATAGCCGCTATCGAAAGCTTTTGTACAAGAAATGAAACTATAAGCTTCCAAAAAGCTTGGAAGCGTGAATTTTTATCTCAATATCTGTCCATTCTTCTTAGACGAGTCTTAATACAATATATTTTTTTTGCAGTGAAACATGGAATAACTATTAAGCTAGTGGATCCAAAGAAACAAAATTCTTCGGTGCATAAATTTTACGAGATATATTTCCTACTCTGAAATTTAATAAGTGTAAATAAAAATTTTTCTTTACTCTCCTCTAAATCGTGAACAATCTAATCACTTCATCGCGAATGCTGAACATTAAGAAAGATTTGGCAGGTTTGAAAAAAGAAATTTACCATAACACACTCTATATCAGTTCGATAAAACCATATCACAGAAAGTACTTCAAAAAGAAATACGAATCGGGCTTACTACTTTATCGTTTTTAATTCCAGTTCATCTACGATCGACATGCAAAGATTCACAGACCTTCCAAAATCTCATCTTAATTCTTGTTCACGTAAGCGAAAATAGATTTATTTCGTTTTATTCTCAACAAAAATAAACGGCAAGGTACAGTTCAGTGTTCTGACTCCGCGATAGCGATCCACGAAAGTGTCAATCCAAAAAATAGTGCTCATGTCGTTGATAAAATGAAATAAATTTGACTGTGTAAATACTGTTTTGGCTTCAATAAGTTGTCCTCTGTTCTTGCCTATACACACTTCAGTCTTCGCATCGAGGATTAAGATTCCATCGGGTTCGTGGGCAGGGATTTTGACATATTCCGAAAGATTAAGCGACTTTCCGACTTCTTGTGCTAAATATGTACCATTTGTGTGTCACAGTACATTACACAGTACCTTACATTCGTGAAAACTGAGCGAGATCCCTTTTTTAGATTTCCAGAAATGGAAAAATTGTTATTTCCCTTCTTAGTACTCAGTAACATTTTGTTCCTCAGAATACAGATTTTTTTTTCATTTCCTTAAATAATTAATGTTGCATCAAGGAGTTTCTCGAGGCGAACGAAAAACAAAATCTACCAGTTTGACTGAATGAAATCACTTGTCGCTGTCATTGTGAATTCTATTCGAGCACCGAAAAGTTCGACAAAAACCTGTGCCTTTCTTGCCACACGACAGCTTTTCTCTGAATAAAGAAGTCACAGATTTAAGAGGTCGGCTATTTTGCTGCGCGAAATCGAGAGGCGCGGCCGTTTTTTATCACAGAATGTCGTCTTCGTGTCTAAGGATTTGCCCTCTCTCGTGGCCTTTTGGGTAAAAAGGATGCTCGGTATGTCTTTCCCGCACGAAACCATATTTATTTTATAATCTGTTTGTGGACTAACCCCTTTTTGGTTTCCATTTTGTGAAAAGGAGAGGAAATTTTATCAAAACATTTCAATGTTAAAGGGATTTGACATGAAATAGAGTGTTTTGTTTTATGGTTTGTGGTGAGACTAGCACCAAATTTTGTGTTTCGAGGGAAAACATATTTCAAAGGGACGAGCTAGTATTTGCGAATTAAAAAATATATATATATATTTCTAAACATGGTTAGAAAATTTTGTTGAAATCATATTTTGAATTACCACATTTGATAACTGACAAAGAAGATATTGGCTTTGAATTGAGAAGAAAAGAAAGTCAGATTCGTCTCCAGCACAGTTGTCGCATCACAGAAATTCAACTGCCGCACAGTAATTAAAATTACAATTTATTTCTCGTTTAAAGGTGATTATAGCTTCTGTTTATATCGCCAGTTAGACCATTATTAAGAATAAAGCCCCGAAGCTGTTAAAAGGAACAAGTCGATTGGAATAGCTTAATAACATGCCACTGACTTTTCCCTTCCACAGTTTTTTTAAGTTGCCCGCAGTTCGAACACAGAAGAAATTACAGTGATACAGACGTACATTTGACATGGTTTATGTCAAGAGATTTTCAACGTTCTAATTAGAAATATTAGGGCTAATTTACACCTTGAGTTTGGTTTTGTTTCCGTTTCTGCTAAAAGCACAATCTAGTTGAAGATATCATGACGAACACGCTTTGATTTCTGAAAGAGTTTTCAGTTTTCGGCTGACGTTTCATCCTCAAAAACCAAAACACGGTTTTCAGTAATTAAGTTACTTCAAAATAAAAGCAGTAACCTCAGACATTTTTCTGTGGACATTTTGCTTTATTCTTCTTCTTTCTCCCTTGTTTTCATCTTGAATGTTCATATATTTATATAGATATATATAATATTTTAATGTTTTTCTTTATCGTCTTAATACGATTCACAGAGTAAAAGATATTCATACAGGTTAAGGTAAAGAAGACTTGGAAATAACTAGAAATTTTGTAATTCAACTAAAAACTATTATACTAATAAAGAAACTACGATACGATAAAAAGAACTTAACATCAAGTAAAGATATCACAGAATCTTTCTTGACGATAAACAGAATAGCCTATGGAAGACATCAGTACCGCCTGATAACACAACCTGCATGAATTCATTCAGTATTTTCTCGAGTTTAATATTTACAACGAATATCTTCTCTTTGGGGCGATACGGTCTCATATCTCACAGATTTTTCGAACCTTGAGACAAGGAGCGATATACGAGTATTCGATAAAGCTTTTAATTATACACAAATATCATGAAATCAAATATGAGAACTTTTATCGTCTCAGTGAGCAGAGGCAGGGCGGCTTTATCTGTAAGAAAGTTAAAATTCTCCATCCTAACACCTAATCTTATCAAAGCCTTGTACAATATTTAAACTGTCCATAACCCTAAAAAGAATATCATCAAGAATATCATTGCATTTTGTACAAGCGGTTCTCCTTTCAAGATCGTTTGCGAAGCAACTTTTCAGTTCCTTAAATTCTCGCGAGGCTATTCCAGCGCGTGAATTGAAACCCAAGACAGAGCATATTTCGGCTAAGGTACGCTTCGTTTCAATTTAAATTGTACCTGTTTCTCCTTTTCTTTTTCCCTCGGCCTTTACGTGGACGAAAGTTCACTGATTGATTTATGTTAAGATATAGGTGAGAGTTTGTATTATAACTTGGAACGGGCTAGCGGGCGTGCCGACCAAATAACGGTTAAAAAGTTTTCCTCTGAAGCGAACTTGCTAGTCAGTTCCAAATGTTATTCTCGCTTCAAACGTTTAAAGGTCCCTTTAAAGAATCTGCTAAGTCTTTCCGTAATGTCCTACGAAGCGTTTATCGATACAGACGGAGGTGCTGATAAATAACTTGACGGATTGGTGGTAGCAGTCGGAATAAGCGGTCCATAAAGACCTGGGTGAAGCGTCGGAATTCCTGTCATGGATGGCCTTGAAAATGCCGTCGGTGTATGAATCGTAGGACTTATGACAGGACTTATCATGGAAGATGCCGAACTCCCTTGACTGATGCTTGGCATGGAGTCTCTGCCATGACTCATAAGCTTCTCTTCGCTGCCGTGTTTCTGTTCTTGTTTCACTCCCTTGGACTTGTTCTTGTTTTTGGAAGAAACTTTTCTGTTCCTTGTTTGTATACCGTCTTTCTTCATCGAGAGCGGGCGGTTCACCTTCCAAAGGAAAGAAATACAAAAATTATTTCCTAATTTCCGAGTAATTACAGAATGAAGATGAACGACCACTAATCCCTTGTGTCAACTATTCCCAAGAAATTTGACTTTGGGAACGATCCACAATATGTTAAATTAATTATCACCCGCGATTTAGCCTATAGTGTTTAACCTCGAAAGATCTCAACGACACGATGCTTAGAGCCGAAAATTACGTTAAATATGAACAAGCTTAAGAATCGGTGATCGAAATTCTGCTCGATCAAGCGAGATCAATGAAAAATATCTCGAGGGAAAAAAGAACGTAATGAAAACCCTACATGCAAAATCGGATAACTGTCGTGACTTGTGAAAGCCTGTGAAAGCACTCTATATTCTCATCCATTAGGAACGGAAATTGGATTAGAGTATGAAGTGGAGAACAGAGAAAAATTCAAAAGCCTGACAGCGTAAAGTCTCGTTTTTCATCAAACTTCAATTGCGGTAAAGATTTCTTTAATCTGCCTTATTTTCCTGACGTTTACACCCAACAACTTAATTTGCTTTCAATAGGCGAAATTTGTAGGTTTAAACACGCGCTAGTATCAATGGTCATTTCCCGCTTGCTGGCAATTTTCTTTTTTTTTCTGCTCTTTTGTTTGTGAATGCGCTTTTTTTTTTAGTAAAACGGAATATTACATGACAATCGCGAAAACAGCAAGAAGAACAGAAAATGTGCCGAAAAGAATCGTCTAGAGTTCAAATCGTTTCGAGGCAACCGATTGTAATTCACTGAATTTCTTTCTTTCATGTCGTAGGCCGCGCTCTTGTGAAACAAAGAGGCCTTTTTTCTTGACATGGCAAGCCATACGTTTTCAGACTGCATTTACCGCGGCGATTTAAACAAAATACAAAAGGAGGTAGGCAGGTGGTCTTTGGTTTAAAATACCAAGCATCTTAGGTTGACCATAGAAGAACCGTTTTACTTTTCAGAGTATTAAAGCGAGATTCTAAATCACGATTTTACATTAGAAAATAGATGTCGAGCTTCCCAATGGAGCGGGTCGCTGTTAAAGCGTTCGTGTATTCTGGAATCAACTCTCAAACGGGTGATAAAGAACAGTACAATTTCGCCAATTAAAAATTCATGCAAGTAACTCATTATATGTTAGGACAACGCGAGAAATAAAAAAAGGCTCACCACAGTACAAAAAATTTAAGGAAGCGAGTTTGATTACCTAATAAACAATCACACAAAAGTATTTTTTGAAACCACAATTACAGAGTTGGCGTTTATTTGAAAGCTTAAAATTTTAGACATTTGTTTCTATGAAAGCCAGATAACATAACAAATATTAAACTCTCATTATCCGCGAAATGCACAGGAAATAGAACCGAATCCAATTCGCCTTAGCGTATGAAAAGGAAGCTATTAATTCGATATAAGAGACAACTTGATCTTTTGAGTTCAAACTTTAGGCAGAAAAACAAAGGGTCTCCTTCTACCAGAAGGCTTCTGTTCTGACAATTAAATTAACGCAGGAAATACGAGTTTTCTGGTGTTTAACGGACACACAAGTCATTAAAGATTAATACATTAAGATTGATTAGCATGGAAAGTCCAGCTTTGAACCATTGAAAAGGTGTCGCAGCCGTGTTTTTGTGAAATTACGAATGTACACAATGCAAAACAAAAAAAAGCCCCTCTATTTGCTTGGAGCTAGCCATGTGAAATACTTCTGGCACACGAAACCAAACAAACTTCATCGGACATGTTAAAACATTTACAAGCTTGCCAGAAAATAATAAAAAAAAAGGATCGGAAGCCAAAAATGCATCACACATTAAGCTTTTACTCAAAATAACTCAACCGGATATTGAGATGAAATTACCCCAACTTTGCTAAAGACTAATTGATGAGCTTTGTAATAAAATATAATCATCCCACATAACGGCTTCTGCAACAGCTGGGCACTGTCTCATCGAATACTCCACGGAGAGAGGAGAGACAGAGAGAGAGAGGCATACAATTGGTTCGAGAGACAAATTTGCATTACCATTTAGAATTTTACTTCCCCAAACGCAAACGGCTGGCATGGATGAAGAAAAAAATTAATTGAAATCGAAAATTTGAACGATTGCACTCGGAACTTTCTTATCTAAACCGAAGGAAATTCGCTTTTCTTGACGTTCTTAAATTCTGTTTGTTTATCGTTTCTAAGCCATTAAGGATAAATGAATTTCTGATGGTGTGTGTGATAAACAGAATCAAGCAGCCTGCGGTTATCAGGGACATCTTATCTTTTATGCTTATTACGTCCATCTCGACGCTTTTCTTTTCCACAAGAAATCCCTTTTTCTCAAACACGAGACGTGTAAAGTGTTCCCTAGCCGCGTGAACACACGCGCGCGATTTTCAACTTACCGCGTGTAATTTCCAGTAAAGTCCACAAGCGTTACAGACAGGATCCCCATTTTGGTTTCGTCGCCACAATGTCGTTTGAGTAGTATGGCAATTAGCACACGATGTTCCAGCTCTGCGGGCTGCCGACTGTTCGAAAAAAAAAACGCAATTTATAGTTAGAAAAGAAAAATTCACAATCCATGAAAGTATGAAATGGAAGCTGTGAGGAAACCCATTTGCTGAAGCGTGGTAAAAAAACTCCAAGGCTGTAAGCCTTGTCTTGAGGCATCTTGTCAAGGGTTCCATTAAAGGCGTTGACAAGTTGCAGTTACGCGTTTGATGTACTTTACACAGAGTCTGGTCGTAAAAGAGCTCGATTTTAATAAGTGAAAAAGGACACGAAAGCTCTAATTGGCAAATTACGCATCGCCTTAAAATTTTAATCAAATCTCCCATGATGAAGAACTCTAAGATAAGTAAAATTAAAAATTTTCTAACCCTCAGAAAATTTCACATAGGCTTGCACGCGTCAAATTTCCCTCGTCTTTTGGTTAGCAATTAATTTCGAAAGCGCTTTGAGAATTTTCACACTCTCTTCTGTCAACGGTTGAAAATCTATCATGAAAATGTCGGCCACCAAATCTGAGATGCGACAATTTGAAAATTAGCTTATTTTACTACCAACAAAATGAAGAGGTTTTGACTAGGACGCGCGCAAATTGTCATTTAAAAAAAAAACTCGTGTCTCCATTTTCTCTTCTTTTTGCTGGAAAACACATCGCGCTACTCACCAATCTTCGTTTAGGTTTAATAAGCGGCCGGCTGGCTCCGTTCATTTTATGGTACAAACCACAGGCGTTGCACAAGTAATGACCGCCACCATCTCTCCGCCATAAAGGAGTTGAAGTAGCCCCACAGTTGACACATTCGCGCCCATCGGCTGATTTAGAAAGACGAAGAAGCCAAGATCAGTTGTCGAGCTTGACGAATTTCCGCGTTTCGAAGTTTTCTACCCTCCTCTATGGTAACCACTCGCGAGAAATTAAAAAATGAACCGATAACTAAAACAAATATTGCACCAGGTTTTACATTTGTGCGCGTTTGGCCATATCAGATAGAATCGTGTTGCTCAGAGTAAACAGCTTTCCCCAAAGGTCATCCTTAAAGACAACATATAGTGTAATACTTCTCGTCCTCTTTGATCGGCTAAAACTTGTTAACTGTCTTACAAACAGCCGTTCCGTACAACAAAAGCTCCGTTCGCTTTGTGAAAAATCAGGAATTCTACACGCGATCACGAAAGTCGAAAACGGAAGATGTAGCGAGAGTTTAGACGTTTGGCCCGTAATCTGTTGAAACTGTCCACCAAAAATTTGCGAAGTGGTTACCATACATAATCTGAACTACAGAGCATAAATACGAAAACGACAAATGTACATACATCATATGGTTACTAAAGAGTCTCTGAAAGCTGGAATGCCGCAAGTAGAAAAGTTTCAACTGTGAAAATTACCGCATTGTAATTAGATTTATTTAAGGGCATAATTAAAAGAGGTAGAGGCTAGAGCGAAATTTTGCGGAGAGGAAAAACTTCAACTCCCGCAGTTTTGTGGAAGGAAGTAACGCTAATCTCGCCGGGAAAGTGGCATTTTGGAGATAATTCGATTTTGGCGATTAATTTTTGTTTGCTCGGGTCTAAATCCTTACTAACCTGAATTCGATCGGCTCTTGGTTCTCGTTCTAGGAAAGTTTCTATTCGCCATTAGCCCGGGCAAACCAGGCAGTGGACCGAAAGAAGACATATTTAGCTCTGAGCCAACGTAATGTGGGAGAGCTTGTGAAGGATAACCTGCGAAAGGTGTTGTGTCAGGTCTCGGGGATACAAGCGGCATTCCGGCTTTCAAACGCGTCTTCTCTTCACTACCGTAGCTGAAAATTTCACTCCCAATGACTCCGCTCTCACCAGAGCTTTCCTTTGGCGGGGTAGGAGGGAAAGGGAACAAGTGCGCGGAGCTGTGAGACAACGACATGGAGCCTGAAACCGCCGAAGGTGGCATTGAAACAGGCACAGGACTCGGTCGATGTCCCTGCTGGAAGGAAGAACACCACACTGACGGTGGAGTTGCGGTGGAACACCCGTGCGACATCAGACCAGGAGCTGGCTTGCTCTCGATCCACTGGATCGGCGTGTGGAAGTGAGGACGACAAACCTGACCGGGAGGAACGCGTGCCGTTGGCAAGAACACCCGGCTACAGCTTCCTTGAGGCCCAGACTGGCTTTGAGGATCTTGAAAAGCTGTTGCACCGTGCGCAGCCATTTGGCACATTGACGGGCGATAGCTTCGGCCGCCAGAAGCGTACGGCCAATTTGTTGCGTTTCCCGAACTGTCGAGGTGGTGAAAGAAAACGTCGACCTCGTCTGGTGGAAGAAGTTGGTTCGTCTCAACCAAATTCATGTTGTTTGCTGCGCAGTTCGGGGCAGATGGCTGCATTCTCTCGCTTGCATGAGCGCTTTCGTGTTGCTGACTAACTGTCGGATGAATCCATCTATGTTCAGGAGTCACAGCTTCCATCTTCAAAGTGCCAACTCGCGAGAAACCTTCAAGAGAACAGAGGTGTTGCTTAAGGCAAATAGAACGCAAAACTGACAGTGAGGCGTATATTTCAATGGTTTAATAAGTCCCGTAACAATAACTACAGGAAATAATAGGTAAAAGGAATTTCATTGTCAAGGCATTATATTCAATGGGAAATTCGGCGAACGGTGCAAGACGTTAAGAAATAGCGTGCATCACCAAACGGAAGTCTCTATTCACAGTTTTTTACAAGTAAAATGAAGCCTACGCTACTTATCTGATGAACACACTCTGGAAATCTGTAGAAGCTATTCAAACAGATATGGAATTTCTCCAGGGCCCCTAACACACAAAAGGAGATCTCCGAAGCTGTAGGGAATGATGAGTGGGCAGATAAGGCGTTAAAATAAAGTGCGTGGCATTAGCTTTGTAAGGCATTAATGGTGCGCTACTTGATTTGTACGTGACGCGCAAGACAGTCTAAGAAAAGAGGGTAAAAATCTCCCAAGGGTCTAATTCCGTTGTGCGCACCTCGTGAGAAACCAGTCCTTCACACGTAGAGAGCCGTTCAAAAACCTGACGGTGTTTTGTAAATAGCTCACTGTTGAGTCTTATGGGTTAAACCCCGCAATGCGCAAGCTGAGATGTGGTGTCTGGTTAAATTCAAACATTATTTGAAAGGTTTTGTAAGCAAACCAGGTTGAAGTTCGCTCCCGCTTGGTCGGCGCCAACAAACCTGCTTGCATACACATTAAGAGTGACAGGTCAAGCTAAGAACCAATCGGATAGCGCGCCCGTTGACATTTTGTTAGATTCTCTTTTCCATTCAAAACTTCATTGGTACACAAATCAAACAATCAATTCTTCGGCTAAAGTGAGCTGCCAATCAAGCGGTTGGACGCCATGTAAAGTTTTCAAACAGTAAATTAGCGGCAATGTTTCACGTGCGCCCTGTTCAGCATCTAACACTCGTGACGGACGCGCGTTCTACGTTGATGGACGCGCGACTTCGCGATAGTGAGCTTTCTGCAAACTTTGCCAGGAAAAAAATGCTCGACACACCGATGTATGATTTAAATTCTGACGTGGACCACTAAAGCACACTACTCTTCGAAGTCAGATTTAAATTTAGATCGGTAGTTATCGATGTAAAATCAACGTGTTTGACTGTATTTATTATCATCATATACTGTTCTTACAAGCGATAAATAATCTCATATTTGACGAGTTAAAATTAACGGCTCAGAGAGACGCATTAGGGATGGTTGAGTGGTTTTCCATGACGTCTCGAGAAAACGTCCCATTGAGTCTATTTGTCGAACCTATTTGGTCAACTAGAGTTCATCTGGTTGGGCATATCCGCCATTACGGATCAAAGAAAAACAACCTGGGTGCTTTGCTTTTCAACTAATTATTCAATGCCGCACGCTGATTGGCTACGGTGTTAAGTTCATTGTTAGGACAGGTGGAACGTGACCGCAAGATAAAACCGATAACAAAGATAAGCCCCACAAGGATTTTATTGCGTATTTCAAGGCTTGTTATCTGTGTAAATGTTTGCAGACGAAAACCTCTTTACGGATGATAGGAAATAAATTGAACTCTTAAAGCACTTTTTAGCTCCGGTCAGCCGTGTGATGGCTTTACCGCATCTCGGTACTAGTCGCCCCACGCTATCGTTATTACGTGGTGACCTTTCGCGCGAAGAATGAATAGAATGACAATATAATTGGTCAGTGTTATCTGAGTTTTCAAACGTTCAACAATGTTGATGATTTGCGTGCGTGGCGATCACTTTCTACAGACAACTTGACGCTGGTTCGCAGCCTGTTTAAACGAGATCTCGACAACTCGAGACGAGGATCATGAACCGTTCCTCGACCTCCGGCGTAGCGTAGTTTTGGCCCATGACATTTAATATTGACAAAAAAATTCCTGTTTTAAAACCACTTCTTTAATCGTCGGTCAGATTCCTGCAGAGTTTGTATCTGTAGTAATGAAAATATTTATGCTTTCGTAATCATGAAGCAGCAGAAATTCGTAAACAAGTAATAAACATAATCGCTGTAATCACGACCGATTACCTAGACAGTACAAAGTTTGACCGGTCTGATAAGAAAGAATCGATCATGCAATTTACACTCTACAGTGAGAGTGTTCCAAATGTACAATGTTTACCGCAGGGATCGCTCTCGCGAAGTGATATTGCAATCCATAACTAGTAATATAACGGAAAAACTCGGGCCTCCTGGGAAAAAAATTCTTTTCTTCTAAATGCTGAATCATTAAAATTTCCTCGCCCCACCTGGAGATAGAACGAAATACAATCAAATCATAGACAGAATGTTTCGATGGTGTGGTTTATGGTAACATCCCACGTGCGTAGTGAGACTAACATGAAATCGACCCAAAGCACGCTATGCTTCGATAAATATAAGAACTTCTTTTTTACGTGATGTCCTTAAAAGTGCTCAAAATAGCCTCTATATTCCCCCTAGTATTCTTAGGTTATCAACATTTCAATTATTTCCCATTATAAGTCATAAATTTTTTAAGCTAAAACTCTTTAGGATAACAAGAAATAGAGATAACCCCTTTATGAAAAAGAATAATAGTTTTTGAAAGAAATTAGAGTATTTATTTCAACAAATGAGAGGCTTCGTTGTTGAAAAAACAAATTGGTCTGAGAGCACGAAAGCTATCCGGCGCTTAGAAAAAGTAGGTTCTTTTAAGATGGTATTAGAATTTAGTGCATTTAATAAATCGCACGAGGAATTAAGCGTTCCTAAAATGAGTAAATTCATTTTATCACAATTAAGATCGAAAAATTGAATTACTTAGATGCGCGGAAGAAATAACTTTTTCATACATAATTGATGTTCGGTAAATTCGCACAACTGCTACTGTTACTGCGGTTTTTTCAATTAAACACAGCTTTCGCCTACCGACAAAAAAAAAATCTCCAATTCCTTCATTTTAAAGGATTAAAACTGTTTGGGTCTCTATATATCCGAAATGAAGCTACGCAAAAAAAATCCGCCGTTTTCTGAAATGGAACTCTAACTGATGGATTTCTTATGTCATACTGGATTAATTTAGCTGAATGCCTGCGCCGTTGTACAGTTAGGACACTATCTGAATTAAAGAACATAAAACATTTACCAGGAAAAGGTGTTTGAAGGCTCTCAGGCAGAGTTTTGCCATAAAACATTGGACACAGACTCCCCAAGAAGCATGTTCCTTGGTTAACAGTCTCCGCAGACATGGTGAAGCGTTCCTTGTCTAGTTTTATCACTAGTTATGCACTCGCACTTAACTACAACGAGATGAGTGGTCGGCCGCTCATCCAAGATCGTGATGTAGACACGATAGCTAGTGTAGTTATATCTATTCTTACACATTGCTCGCGTCTAAATCCATAAAACACACATGCATCGCTTTGCTTGGTAAAGATAAGTCTAAAGAGTAACGGGGGTTATCAGTGTTATATTCCTATTTTTTCTTTGTACAGGTTGGCGATGAAATCTTTTGTATAATCGCCAACGGGCTTGATTGCATTGCTGATTTCTGAAAACACAACTGTTTATTACGTATTTCGCCGTCCTGTTTTGAAAATTTAATCCTAGCAAATTCTTCACCTCCCAAAGCCGCCGCCCACAAAAAAAGAGAAAACCAAAAGGATTCATTTTAACGTCGACGGTTCGCGGGTGTAAAATCCATAAAAGCAGGGTGATAATTTGAAAAGTTTTCGAAACAGGAAACTGCGTTTAGTTTTATCAGATGAAGGGGGCTGTCGTATCTTGCTCTCATACTGTGCAAGGGTCTTGTACAGTATCATTTGATCGCTAAAACAAGTCTTAATGTCCGTGATCGATTTTATATCTGGGGACCGAACAGAAGGGCTTTAAAAGCGCCCTCAACAGGGCCAACTGATAAAGCTTCAATCGTGATAAACTCGGATTAAATTCATAAAACGTCAAAACGTTTACGGTTCCAACGGACTCTCTATGGGCAAGAAGGAGATAGCGGCGCTTTCGTACTTACGTGCTAATTTGTACTTGTCCATAGTGACACCAAACGTGTTGCGTAAAAACACGGAAAAACAGATCCTTTCCTGGGCCAAAACAAAGGTTGTAAAGTGATATATTTTTATAGCGCCACGACAACTTATACGTGTGCGATATATCGCTTGCACGCAGATGAATATCAAACGCTTTTGGATAGCTGGAGACGTTGTACATGTAGGAATTTTTGTGGAAAAAAAACCATCTGTGACTAAATCAGTCAAATGCGGTAGGTAGCTTTGATTTTTCTTCTGTTGCTATGTTGGAGGGCTTTAGCTGTCTTCTTTTGGAAAGGGCAGGATATTCTTTATAATGAAATACAGGAAACGCTGTCTAGGGAAATTAGAAATATGCTGACAATATGAAAGAGCTAGTTGCAATGGAGCACGACCACAAGAATTCATACAAAGAAGTGCACTAAAAATTGCGGCGAAACAGCTTCAAAACACATTTACAAACCATCAAGAGAATTATTATGATTAAATAACACGACATCGTAAGGCGAGTGCGAAAATTAGACCGATGATTAAAACATTTCAGAAAAATTTCTGGCTACTGTTTTCTCTTTCCGTTAGTGGGGTAAACTAAGTGTTAGAAAGATCCATCAACGTGTTCGCAAGTCGATAATTGTGACAGCAATCGAGAACAGACACTAAACAGAATTTATACCACACAAGTGAACAGTGAAGCATGGTTTATTTCAACTCAAACTGTTGAAATCCAGTTTACCGCATAAGGCAGCTAAGCAGCTTGCATTTTCGTGGGTTTTCCTTAGGCGTTTGATCTGGTTAGGCCAGTTTCTAATACTTGAAATAGGATTGCCTTAGTAAACCAAAAGTAACCAAACAGGAAATTCTTCCATTCTATTCGATTTTCGTCTGTTTCTATCTTTAGCTTGGTTTCAGTATCGAGGAAATAATCGGTTGCAATGACTTTTTAAGCTACATGTTTTATGTTGTTAATCTAAACCAAATATCCATTCTCTGATATTGAGTCGGTCCGAAACCATATATTGCGATTAAAAATAGATCGATGTCAAGAACTCCGTTTCTATGTCTGCGTGCAGAAATTCGATTTTAGCTTAGAAAGAAACTAATCTAGTCTCCCATTACTCAATATTGATATTGGTCGACAAAACTCTTAACTCAACCAACAAATCTCGCACACCAAAACAGAACCCTTATCTGCACGAAAAAACCAACAAAAGGTTAACCTAACAAAAACTAAGAGAAACACAAAAAACCGAGCGATAAATCTGCGTCGCGCGCTCCATTGACGCGCAAAATTTCCATAACAATGACAGAGGAGCTGGAGCAACTTGTAAAACGGAGAAGGCGTTTAATAAGATAATATTGGGCCGGATATATCTTACAACACAAATCACTGAGAAACGTTAAAATTTAACGTTAAAAGACGAAATTTTGCAATGAAATTCATGTTGTTGCCGTTGCTCTATCATAAATAGGAACTTCTTCGTGTTTTCGTGCGGTAAACGCCTGTTTTACGATCATTTTCTAAATGCAAATTTAGTTCTTGTGATCTCGT